ACCTTTCCGCTAATTATTTTGCGCCATCCAAGCATCTTGTTTTTAGGATGCTTTTCAACGGATACCCTGCATCGCATACATTCCTGTCATAAGCGGAATCTAGTGACAGTTATATATAGATCCTTTTAAACTAATCCGTGGCATTGCATCCGTGATGCTTTACGTTTTGAGCACTCGAGGCAATTCAACCTTAGTATTCTCCAAATACGACAAAGATTTTGCTTCACACACAGGTCCTACTCCGTTTGCTTCCTCTAATTCTCTTGTAACCATTGAAGAGATGCTTTTTTCGTTTCTGTACTTTTTGCCAAAGCAAGGTTAAAACACTCATTGCCCATCCTTTTTGATATGCGTAGTTGACAATATGAATTACCTGAAAATGTCCCATGTTGTATTTATGTCGGGATCAGTTGGAGGAAACCCATTTTTGGCAAGTAGATTCCGATAGACGGGGCCGACCGAGGGCTTTCCATCTCGGCCCTCCCTTCCATCCTCGACCTTGGCCGCAAAGACCTTCATTTGCTTTATCTATGAAACATGGATGACACAAAGACAAAGCTCATGGAACTTTACTAAAGTCAGCAGCAGAAGATGTCAACACAAAAAAAAAAGCGAACTCAACAAAAAGGTCATGAATGGTGCACACCAGAATAGAGAAGCAAGCACTGATACTCACAAAAAATCTCAACTCATCATCAAGTTTCCAGTCAAGTCCTCGGACCCTTTAGATGTACTTAATGAAGAATCAAGACACGACAATTTCAACTAATGAGCCATGCTCAACATAATTAACACTGACGTGACACTCTGTAGTTGACCAAAGAGGATGAAATCTGAAGCTAAAATTTTCACAAAGCAAGGATGAAAATCCCATTAAACAAGCCCAATCCAAGTTACGTTAAAAAAAAAGGGGGAAACCCCCATTTGATCGGTAGTTATGTGGTCAATGGAAAAACAGCAGGAATTGACCGAAAGCTTAAAAATTTGGAGTATGAATGTGGTCCTCGAAAAATCATCAACTTACTCTGCCAACACCCTGCAATTCTGGTGAATATGATTATGATGAAATGGCACTCAAAACATCAACGAATCGCCACCTTCAGATAACTCTTGGGAGAATAACGAAAAAACACAGGAATTTTAGAAACTATAGCTGAAACCATTAGTGGAATATATAGCCTAAGGAACCGTTTTTTAAGTCAAAAGGCAAGCTAAAAACTGCATGCGGAGCCCGCAGAGAAAGAAGAAAAACAAGCAAAAAAGAACGCGACAGAAACCACGACCTGTATTTCGAAGAGCGTGCTAATATAATACCTTTCTCGCACATCCATCTAGACGTCCACCGTAAGCTAAAAGACTCGAGTCACATAAGAACACACTGAAAAAGAAAGAGGAAAATCTTGCCAACAGAAACCTTAAAAACCCATTAGTCTCCCACCATCTTCTTCCCACAATTTACACGTAAAATTACAAATTATGGGTCAAACATGCTAATTAAGAAACAACCCCATGCAGTGACCATTTGGGACAACCGTTCTTGTTCAGTTTAGACGAGAGAGAGAGAGAGAGAGAGAGAGAGAGATTTTCCTCATCGACTCCATTTGCGAGAGTGACATTGCACTGCACGACAACGTTGGTGGGGAGGTTGAGGAATGACTTGAATTTAAGGATGGAGAGGTTAGCCAAACAGGTGATCCAACACAAATTATTTTTAAATCGAGTCTTATCAACAAGTGTCCTAAAATACCAACCATAAATGCTTAAAAAGGCATAATCTGATTTTCCAAATGATTTCATGTGACATGAAAAATCAGCGACTGAGAATTTCAAGAAAATATTAAGTAAGCTAGTCTTACCACATAAGCTATGTGTCACTTCACTTATTAATTACCACGTGTTTAAATAGGACCCACTTTTTAAATTTGTATTTAACCCCTCTCTCTCTCTCTCTCTAACTGCCAAAAGAGAACCGGAAGACAATGGAGGAGGCAATGACCATAAATAAGAAATCCTAGAAGATTGACCAAAAAATTGCTCCTTTTGTCCGCGGTCGAGTCACTCGCGGTCAGGTCACAAAGACGATGGAGGAGGTGGCGATTGGATGTAGTAGTGCTCGGCCTAGACCGCGACATGGGCAACTCCACCAGTGGCGACAGCAAGGGGAGCAGAAGTCGATCGGTTGTGGATGGAGGAGTAAGAGATAAATTGAAGGTTTTTAATTTTTATTCCACATCACTTTGTTGTTGTGGCACTATTTAAACGTGTCAAGTTTTCAGTGATTGTGAGAAAAAAAAAAGCCTATCCCATTAGCTGATGACGAGATAGTTGCAAATCACTGAAAATTTTCTCCTGTGAAACACTCAAGTCGGACCACACCAAGTATCTACAGAAAACTCATTAGGATTTTTTGTTTTCGATAAATAATTTATCAGGATTCACAATTCGCACAATTCTACTTTTGTGCTTGGGAGATTAATAGCCTAAAATGATATCATAATTTCTCTGCTGTCTCATAAAATGAATAAGAGCCGAGGAACAAAAGATTAGATGGGGGTTGAGCAGGACATGCTGAAAGATGCAATTGCCATTCACTCTAGGGATTCTATGAGCTTTGGGGTTTGATCCCAGATATGTGCAACTCATTTAAGAATGCATTTCCCATTCAGACCTTACAGATATGAAGAACTACATGAAACTCTTTTGTCAGCTAGGAGGACAATGTGTGAATCTAGCAAAGCCGACAACCTTCTTTTCCTGTAATATTGACTTGCTCATTCATGTCTTGCTGAGATAAAAGAGTCTTTCACATATGTTAAGCATACACTCTTTCTCATAAGACTGCATGCATAACGTTTCGACCGTATAAAAGACCCTTGTACTCTTTTAGTATATATGCTCAAGAAAGCATAAATGAGGGCTTTGTTTATTTAATTAAGGGATAAGTACACTAGAAGTCCTAAAACTTATCATGAAAGTGCAATTGAGTCATAATAGAAAAAAGTACCAAGAAAGTTCTAAACTATTGCATTGGTACCAATTCAGTTACTTTTCAATTTGATCAATTTAGTCATAAACATTTTCTCATTGGTACCTATTCAGTCCATTTAGCCAATTTAGGCTGAAAATTATTGACGTAAACGCTGGCCGTACCATGGAGACATTTTTAATAATTTCTTCTTCTTCTTCTTCTTCTTTTCCATTTGCCTTTTCTTTCCCTTTTCTTTTTGATGATGCTAATCACTAGTTGCCAGCCACCGGCCACAGGCCATCGCCGAAGAGGGCTGGCCTCACCTGGGCGAGGGTAGGCCTTGCCTCGGAGAGGGCAAGCTCCGATGAGGGTCGACCTTGCTAGAGAGGGGGGCCTCGCCAGAGCTTGCCCTTGTCCAGGCGTGGCATGGCAAGGCCAACCCTTGCTAGCCATGGCCAATGACCAGTGGTCGGCGACGAGCCACCACTCCAGCAAAAAGAAAAGGGAAAGAAAGGGGAAAGAAAAAAAAAATAGAAACTTATTTAAAAAATTATAAAAAAATGTCTACGTTAGCGCCGGCCACGCTAGACAGCCAGCATCAATGTCAGCGATTTCTGACCTAAATTAACCAGATGGAATGAATCAGTACAAATGTGAAAATGTTTAAGACTAAATTGGTCGAATTGAAAAGTTTATGACTGAATTGGTACAAATGTAATAGGTTTAGGACTTTTTTGGTTCTTTTCCCAAATCCTAAAATTTGTCGAATTGATTTAATCAAGTCCATTCATTAACTTCGTCCAACTTAGCTAACAAAAAATGCCGACCTGACTTTTCTTTTTATTATTTTCTCTTTCCTATAAGGCGTTGACATTGCTTAAACATAAATCATAAGTCTAAAATGAAGTTGTTTTGATCAAAATATTTGTTTTAACCCAAATTTTAGTTAACTTAGATTAAAAGATGAGCTAAATTTAAAAAAAAAATACAAAAAAAAAACATCACCACCGTTGCCCACCATCACCAGGAAGGGCCGGTGACGGTAGGGCGATGGCCAAGGGGAGTCGCTGGGGCTCGATCGGAAGCCGGCGATTCTCGCCAACCGAAAGCACCCACTTGGCAACGGCTAGCTAGATCTAGGCAAAGGGCAGCGACCCTCGCTAGCCATCGCCCGACCATGTCGGCGATGTTGGGGGCAGCAGCAGTGAGTGCTGCAGGCCCTCACCTGTTATTATTTATATTTTTCTTTTGTGTCGTTATTATTTAATTCAAATTTAGCCTTTTCATTTTTTAATCTAATTTAACTAAAATTTAGGTTAAAAATAGGATTTTGACAAAAACGACGCCGTTTTAGTTTTATATTTTAGTAACGTCACCGTCACATGGGAGGGAGAAAATAATACAAAAGCCATATTAGCATTTCTCGTTAGTCATTTTAGACAAAGTTGACGGAATGATTTGATTATACCAATTTGACATATTTTAGGATTGAATTGCACTTTGGACTCGATTGCAGTTTTATGATAAGTTTTAGGATTTCGAATGTCCTTAGCATTTCGCTATTGACTAAAATAAATTAAAAAAACTAGGGGTGTTGCTTCGCCCCACACATAAACTACCCCACCTAATCCTCATTATTATCAATTAACTGAGGATGACCAATCATTAGTGTGACCCTCACAAATCGGTTGAATGGAACATGTTGTAGAAATTTCTAGGAACCCGTCGTGTTTATGTGGAACAAGCACATCGCGGTCATTTTCGAATGATAATTTGGCACAAATTCTACTTAAAGTCGAGAAACGCTAGAATTCATAAGATCGACAGAGAATTCACTCGTCACAGACGAGGTCGTGGATGAATCCAAGGGACCTATTCGATTGAAATTTAGCTTGATTTCTACTCTTCTATTGTTTGGACGTCCAAATTCGAACTTTTTGTTTTGTTATCGAGGATGGTTACGTTGATCTGATTTGAAGGTGGTTGCTGTTTTCTGTGATGTTTATTACAATAGCCATTTACAGATCTGCCATTCACGAAAAAGACGATGGCATCGTGGTCAAAGATCAAAATTATTAAGATTCTTACGCAATTGCTCTGGGTTGACGCAAGGAAAAATGCAGTACAAATTTGTAATCGACACAAGCTTTCTCGCGAACTAAAACTTTTGTATACGGTGTTCGTCATTACGGTCCTTATCACAGTTCTCAGCTATTGATGGACATGCGAAAACTTAATGCTAGTACAACATCTATGAACAACCTATACTGGTCATAGCAGCGACTTTGACGGATTGATGGATCGAAAGCAGTAGTTGCGTAATGGTCCTCAACTTTAGGCGATCATTGAAGTTCATAGTCTCCCACCGGCCAAAGTTCTGTAGAGTTCATCGATCTGCACCTGTCCAAATGCGGCGAAGTTAGTGTCCTCCATTATTGAGTTAGACATCAAATGCTGAGAGTCAACGAGAACGGAATGAAAAATTTACCTGATAGTGGTTTAGCAACTTGTTTCTCTTCTTCTTGAGCGTTGCGGTCACCAGATCTCTTTCCATGTCGAACAGGAGCGGTTCGAGGATGATTCCTTTGATGTACTCGAAGCCCCTCAGCTGGTGAAAAGAGTGGCGGTAACTCAATTCCAGGCAAAGGACAATAAATTAAAATGGACGAGATTAACTCAGGTTCTATAGGCTTATCTGATATCCAACAACATATACCTTGTTTCTTTGAGCAATCTCTCTGAACTCAGCGAGGATGTGCTCTTTCAATAGATTGAGAGAACAGAGTTCGGTAAAGGACCCTGGGTAACCGTTCGCAACTGCCCACTTTCTGGTGTTCTCTTCATGTGGTACGACGACTGCGATGAGCGTTGATTTGAAGCTGTCCCCATATACCCAAACCTTAACAAGCATGAAAATAAGGGAAGTGAGAACTCTGGATTGTTTTCTATCGCCAATCTAGTGATTGAGGAAATAATAGAGATGACAAATAGAAAGCCATGATGCCTCACATCTTCCACTATTGCGGTGACTCCATAAACATTTTCCAAATACTCGAGCGCAACATACTCTCCTTGGGAGAGCTTTACAAGATTCTTCTTCCTGTCGATGATCTTGACGTTGCCATTAGGAAATATTTCCCCAATGTCCCCTGAAAGATCACAGAAGTTGCTAAGTACCGTCATGATGCAACTTATGTGGATTGGTGTCCGTTCACATGAAGGAGAGCATGCGAAATTTAATGTCGGCCATACCTGTATGGAACCAGCCGTCCTTTATAGATTCTCTTGTCAACTCGGGATTTTTGTAGTATTCTGAAAAAACAGACTTCCCTCTAACACATATCTCACCGCATGGAGGGTTCCGCAGCGGATTGTAGCCCATCTCCGGAACTTCTTCTAGGCGCATCTCATTGTATACGGACACCGCGCCGACAGATCCAATCAAGGACATTTCGTCAGGAAATCCGAGAGTTGTTGGCCCACAGGTTTCGGTCAAGCCTGAAGAAACCTCAATGTGACTAGATCATAATTCATGTAGAAGCTGGATAATGTTTGAGTTGCATAATCTGCAACCCATTTGATGACCTCAAGCCAAAACTAAAAGCATGCCTTAAGATCAAGCTAATAGGGATGACTATCTAACAGCAGAAGCTAAACTAAACATTGCGAGTATGACTTTTCAATTAGATTATTAGATGAAAATAAGTAATCTTCAACAGGCCAACTTAGTTTAATTAACTATCATATATCAAAATACACCTAAATTAATAGACTACACAAATAAACACTAAAGAAGATTAAAGTTACTGTTAAGAGGGGATAATTAAGCCTTTTGTTTTTGTCTCCACTAATAGAATGTGCTAAGGATGCAGTTCGTTACCATAGCCTTGAACCACAAAAGCACAGCAAGTAACCCGCAGAAACTCTTCGATCTCGGAGCTCAATGGTGCGCCTCCAGATACTATAAGGCGAAGCCTGCCACCTAACTTAGCTTTTACCTGCAAGGGGATTAAGTGAATTCAGCAGGGAAAACCACTTTTCCATTTCTGGGCGAGCAAGCGCCTCTGGTATCATCATGCAAATATGGACATGAGTGGTGAGTAATGAGACCAAGAGAGACAAATTGAAACACGGGACAACCTTCCTGAAAGCCAACAAATCCGCCAGTGGCGATGCGTCTTTTTGTTTATATCCCAGATTCATCCAGTGTAGTTTGCTGTATAAGAAAATGGGCAAACATACACATAAATTGTTCTTCTCTGGTAGGAGCAAAAGACTCTGCTGTCTTGGTGAGGGTGAGAGATCGATTAGCTGCGACAAAACAAACGAACTTACTGCCTGTAGAGAAGATTGAATATGCTCCGCCTCACTGGATTGAGTTCTTCTAGTGTTACTTTAATGCCTATAACATAGAGAACTTATTATCAGAAAATTTATTAGTTAGAAAATAAAATCAGTGTAGTGAGACATTTTCTTGCAATCATTTGAACTTTGAAGGGACACTTCCCGTACTTTCATGTATCCTTTCGAATACTCTAGGCACGCCCGCGAAAAACGTTGGCTTCAACTCCATCAGATCATCTCTCAGTGCATTCAAGTCCTTTCAGCAACAGAATGAGCATGACTTAGAAAATGAATCACTTCAATCTAGTGCTCAAAAACACGGGACAAGAAGTTTAGGAGTAGAAGAGACATTAATTACCCAATGAGTTAAGAGAGCATGTATGAACTTGCATTATGGAGAATGATTAGAATATTTGGTCGGTGCAAGAATTCTAGCATGACAGACGGTTGAGTAACTGAATATAATGTTAGTCATGTACCCCATGATAATAGCCGATGGAAGCGCCCTTATGAAAAAAATACTCCTCAATGGTACGGTCAAGAATGTGAGCAAGCGGCAAGAAAGATAGATACACATCGTCCACTGTCATCTGTTGTCCTCAAAAAGCCATGTCAAAACTCACCAGAAGACCAAATTCTCAAAGACAACGAAATACCGAAAATCTAAGTTACCTTATCTTCAAATTGCTCCATAAAGAGATCCATCCCTGCTACAAAAGCTGCGAGGTTTTCATGTGTCAGAACAACACCTTTCGGATCTCCACTGGTGCCACTGGTGTACATGATTGTGCAGATGTCAAAAGGCCGAGGCGGCAAAATGTCCGACGGATTCTCCTTTCCCTGGTGAGAGTCGAATATCTAAAATGAGGAAAGAGATAATCAAGGGCGACACTGTTTGTGATATCCACAAACTAGGATAACGGTTTTGTTTATTTCTCTCGCCATAGCTTTTATGTGGCTGCACTAAAACCATAGTATATCGGGGTTTTCACAGATTTCAGAGATCAGCATGTGGCTGCACTAAGGCCATGTTCACAGTTAATGATCTCATCGACTAGCAACCCGGCAGATTATTCTCGAACGAAAATAAAAAAAATGGCCTGATATCTGTAGATCTATAAAGGTGCAAATATCGAGAAACACACCATCTGAAGGAACTCATCCCATGTATAAGGTACAGTCCCGGTTTGAACCACCTTTTCTTTCTCGTCCTCTGCCAAAGACGTAAAGCAAATGATCGCTGCAAACAAAATTTAACCTCCATTAATTAGACTTCCAGCAATTGCAGGAAGCCAAAAGTGATCAGAGAAATCCTCACATTTTAGCTTTTTGGCAGAAAGGCAATCCGGATTTAGTAGCTGCAAATCAATGAATCGAGGAGAATTTAGTGTGATTTATTACCGCTGCGCATATCGATATCCCTAGGAAACCATCTGATAATCTCGAAAAGCAGAAAGAAAAAATCTTTCATGGTACTCACTTCTTTTGCTTTCTTATCTTGGACGAAAACAAAATTTATCTCCGCGTGATCCAGTATGAAGTTAACAGCTCCTGGACCTGCCTCCAAGAAAATCCTCGAGTGAGGCTCAATAAACACAGATTAAAGCAAGAAAATGCTAATAAATCCTATTTAGTTGGAAATCAGCAGATAGAATTGCAATCTGGACAAGGCTGCTTATTACGCATTCTTATGTACAGTCTTTCTAAAGGAACTTATGCTGCAAACATGCAAGATCATTTAATGGCAAACAATCATGTTGCTTCATTAGCTAGTTGACCAATTTTTCGAGTAAATTTAAATTTTGGCCCAAAGCATGAAGCCACTCAGACAGGAGAGTTATAGTTCTACAGCACGAGACACTCGCTCATATACAGTTCAAGATATTAGAATAGGAAATTCCTTGAAGAAACAATACCGAGGGTATCGTAGAGAGGCACGCATACCAAACTGTGTGCGTTGCAAGCCTACACCAAATTCCCAAAATCCATTTAGCATAGTCTCAAGACTGGTAAAAGCTCATCGAGCAGGGGAGAGAAATGACGGTGATTAGATTGGGTAAGACAAAAAGAAAGTGAGAGACGAACCTCCATTGCCATAACCCACTGCGGGCAGTTTGCTCCGTAAATTCCCACTCTGGAGCCCTATGAAAGGGGACAAAGATAACATTGAAACAAGATTGAAATTTGCTCTAAATCACCTAATGTAATAATCCATCTATGCATGAGTATTTTCATGTGTTGATCTCTATCGAAAAATTTCAGAAATGTTCACATTCTTACAGGTTCAGCTCCGGATGCACGTAATGCGGAACCTATATGCAAGACTTCGTCGTAGACTTCCTTGTAGGATTTCCAGGCATAAGGTCCTGGCTGCAGCACAAAATGAAAGCTCTTCAGGAATTGAAAATCGAATTCATAGGCATACAATTTCTGGGCATGATACCCGCTTTTCTAGTAAATAAAAAGTAGCTCCAAAGAATGCAACAATTCACAGAATGTAAATGAAACCTTTCCGCTGATTATTTTGCGCCATCCGAGCATCTTGTTTTTAGTATGCTTTTCGACGGATACCCTGCATCACATATATTCCTGTCATGAGCGGAGTCAATGACGGTTATATATAGATCCTTTTAAACTAATCCATGACATCGCATTTGTGATGCTCTACTTTCTGGGCACTCGAAGCAATTCAACCTTAGTATTCTCCAGATAGGACAAGATTTTGCTTCACACACAGGCCCTGCTCTATTTGCTTCCACTAATTCTCTTTTAACCATTGAAGAGAGGCTTTTTCCGTTTCTGTACTTTTTTTTGGTGGAGCAAGATTTAAACACTCATTGCCCATCCTTTTTCCTTACCTGAAAATGTCCCATGTTGTATTTATGTCGGGATCAGTCGGAGGAAACCCATTTTTGGCAAGTAGATTCCGATAGACGGGGCCTATTGAGGGCTTTCCATCTTGGCCCTCCCTTCCATCCTCGACCTTGGCCGCAAAGACCTTCATTTGCTTCTGCGAAACACGGATGACACAAACACAAAGCGGATGGAATTTTACTAAAATCATCAGCAAAAGGTGTCAACACAAAAGAAAAAAAAAAAGCAAACTCAACAAAAAGGTCGTGCATGGTGCCCACCGGCGTAAAGAAGCAAGCACTGATGCTCACAAAAAATCTCAACTCATCATCAAGTTTCCAGTCAAGTCCTCAGACCCTTTAGATGTACTTAATGAAGAATCAAGACACGATAATTTCAACTAATGAGCCGTTCTCAACATAATTAACTCTGATGTGACGCTCTATAGTTGATCAAAGAGAATGAAATCTGAAGCCAAAATTTTCACAAAGCAAGAATGAAAATCCCATTAAACATGCCCAATCCAAGTTTTGTTAAAAAAAGAAGGGGAAAAAACCCATTTGATCAGTAGTTATGTGGTCAATGGAAAAAACAGCAGGAATTGACCGAAAGCTTAATAATTTGGAGTATGAATCTGGTCCTTGAAAAATCATCAACTTAATCTGCTAACACCCTGCAATTCTGGTGAATATGAGTATGATGAAATGGCACTCAAAACGTCAAAGACTCGCCACCTTCAGATAACTCTCGGGAGAATAACGAAATAACAGAGGAATTCTAGAAACTATAGCTGAAACCATTAGTGGAATATACAGCCTAAGGAACCATTCTTTAGTCAAAAAGCAAGCTAAAAACTGCATGCAGAGCCAGCAAAGAAAGGAAGAAACAGAAGCAAAAAACAAAGCGACAGAAACCAAAACCTGTATTTGGAAGAGCATGCTATAACAGACAAGATGATACCTTTCTCGCACATCCATCTTGACATCCACCGTAAGCTAAAAGACTCAACTCACATAAGAACACACAGAAAAAGATGAAAAAAAATCTTGACAACCGAAACTTCCAAAACCCATTAGTCTCCCACCATCTTCTTCTCCCAATTTACACGTAAAATTAGAAACTATGGGTCAACAATGCTAATTAAGGCACAACCCCATGCTGTGATTATTTGGGACAAGCGTTCTTGTTCAGTTTAGCCAAGAGAGAGAGAGAGAGAGAGAGAGAGAGATTACTTTCGAGTCCATTTGCGAGAGTAACATGGCATTGCACGACAACCTTGGTGGGAGGTTGAGGATTGACTTGAATTTAAGGATGGAGAGATGAGCCAAATAAGGAGAAAATTATCTAAAAAGTCTTAAATTTATTATATTTTTGTCAATTCAGTCCTAAATCTTTTAATTATGCCAATTTAATTCTAAACATTTTCATGTTTTGTCAATTAAGTCCATCAGATCAATTTTGGCCGAAAATCGTTGATGTGAATATCGGTCGTCCTACGTGGCACGGTTAGTATTGACGTGAACAATTTTTAATGATATTCTCTTATTTTTTCGAATTTTTTAATTAAATTTTCTTTTTTTTTTCCTTTTTCCCTCTGCCTGCCTCAGGCGAGGGTTGCCCTCACCGGTCCCTGCTAGCCCAGGCAAGGGCGACCCTCACCAATCCAACAAGTCCGACCTCGGTTTAGGCCGGCGGAGGGAACAAGGGAAACAGAAAAAAGAAATGAAAACAAAGAAAAGAAGATAAAGGAAAAAGAAGAAGAAAAAGGTAGAGAAGGAAAAGAGAACAAAAGAAAAAGGAATAATGACAAGTTTGGCTCAATATACAATTTAGTCTTTAAACTTTTAATTTGTTCAATGTGATCCTTAAACTTTAGCTTAATGTTCAATGGGGTCCTTATGGTACATGTTCAATGTAATCCTTGAACTATATGAACATATTTAATGTAGTCTCTAAACTTGAATTAATAGAATGATTACTTTGAACATTTTCATATAGTTTACGGAATAAATTGAATAAGTACCAAAAGTTCAAAGATGATATTAAACAAATTAAAAGTTTAGAGAACACATTGTATATTGGGCCAAAGTTCATGGACTGTTTGTGTCATTTTCCCAAGAAAAAAATGGAAAAATACAAAAAAATCGAAACAAAAATTATTATTAAAAATTATCCACATAAACACCGGCTGTACCATTTAGGATTACCGGCGTCTACGTTAGCAATTTTCGGCCAAAATTGGCTAATCGGACTCAATTGGCAAAACATGAAAATGTTTATAACTCAATTGGCAGTTTATGACTGAATTGATAAAAATGCAATAAATCTATGACTTTTTGGATGATTTTCCGTGGTCCAACACAAATTATTTTTAAATCAAGTCTTATCGACAAGTGTCCTAAGATACTAATCATAAATGCTTAAAAAGGCATAGTTTGATCTTTCAAACAATGATTTCATATGACATGGAAAAATCCGTCCACCGAAGAATTACAAACTGAGTAGCAAGCATTCAACGGCACTCTTTGACACATTCTTTTATTTTAATGTGATCGCGGACCCCGGAGAATTAGACAATTGGTAACATCATAATTTCTGCTCATCTCATTTACACTATTGTGTATCAATTCCTCCCTAAGAAGTTTCCTACTCTTGAGCATCTCAACTTAGTCTAATGAAACTTACACATGAATATAATAATGATGGTGAGCATACAATAAGTCTCAAAAAATATGGAAAAATAAAAATCTTGCCGTGAGGAATGCTAGTGGAGGGAGAGGCCCCATGGTGATTTAATGAGTTGGTTGAAGCAGGTGACCGGCCTCGATGAAATCTCACTGTCTCTTTATTTATTACACAGCTCATGTTTTTGCGTATGAACATGTAAGAAGATCTCTGCAAGAAAGTCTTGCTTCTGTTTCTTCGGAAACACACGTTGTAGTGTTGAATTAGACAAAGATGTATACTATTAAAAAAGAATATTTTGTTCGGAACTTCAGAACGAGACTATTTATGGGGTTTTCATAGTCTCCCAAGAGATCGATCCACCATTCCAAAAACTCCGTACCCAAGTTTTTTTTCGTTGTACCCTCTACACTAAAAATCGTATCTCGCAAATACTTTAAAAGTTTTTAATGAACCACAAAGATTAATTATCTTGCGATTTATCGGCCAATAATCCCCGAAAATCCGATCCTTCAACAGGTAGTGTCATAATAATGCTAGAGTATTCGCCAAGGATATATCGCTCAAGATATGAACACTGAACAGGTAGGGAAAGACCAGTCAAAAATAAAGATTGTACCGCCCGTAGGCGTGCGGAATACTTCAAGAGATAAATCAAGAAGGACGACGTTTTAGAATAATGTTACATGCGCAAAGTCTTAGTTAAGAAGAGTCATTATAGCAAACGCTTTGAAGGTTATGGTTAGGCATATACTATATTAAGTAGCACTCCATTTTAATGCATTAACTATAAATTCATAAGGAAAAAAAATCATGCGAAAATTTTGTGGAATCACTATCAGTCGTTTTAAAAGTTTAAACCGTTAGACGAAAGTACTTTAACACTCTGCCTCACGCGTAAACCAAACTCTGGCTTAAGAATAAAAATATTAAAATACACGACTAAAGAATCAAATAAAAACTTCAGAAAGATTTGAACTCAAAACTTCTTATTAATGTTTGGAGTGATTGTACTTGGCTGGCCTAATCACTCCAAACATTAAACTTCTTAAGAAATTTGCTCACTAAGGACCGATTCCCTTAGGAACCGCCGGTTCCGGTCTGGTTTCGGGCGATCCAGGCGATTCTCGATTTTTTTGCACACCCCTACGTCAGTCCACTAATGGTGAAATGCTGTCTTAAAATGGCACATTGAATTGAATATCTACCCAAAAAGGGAAGATAAAGAGTTTCAACACACACTGCCTTGCTTGGCAGAATTCACTGTTTGTACAGGGACCGGTCCTTAGTGAGCTGTTCCCGATTCTAGGGTGGGAACTCCTTATCCGGACCATGCTCACCCCTAAACTGATGTTGGTCCTCACCAAATGTCCTTCCTGTGACGCCAGTCCATAAAGGTATCGTTGCTTTGAAGTACTTGTGCCTGCTGCATAGCTGCTGCATGCTGTGTCGTCACTACCTATGACGCACAAAGCCCTAAAGTTTTGTATTTTTAAGATTTGTTTTCATCTGTCAAACGTCAATTTAGAAGAGAAAAATGAGATAACCTACGAATGATGTTAAGATACCGACGTGAATATAATATGGTTGGAATCCATCAGCAGAATCGGTTGAGTTTTTCCACCGCCGCATGCTTTGGATCATCTCAGGTTTCCATGTAATGCTGTGTTATCACCAACCATGCATGCAATGAGAGTCATGGGATCAATGTGTAACAATGATGTGTTATCGCCAACCATTAGTCATCCCACTTGTTCTACATCCGTGATTATCCCACTTGTTCAACGTCCCACCACGGATGTAGAACAACACGTGGTTAACTGCGACCATAATGTGTAAAATTTGAAGACTCTCTCTCTCTTGTGTTGCGACAGCCATCACACCATGCCACGCTCCAGTGTCGTGTCACGTCGTGTCATTGCCGTCCCTCCAGTTGAGCCGTCTCTCTCCCTAACCCCCTCCCCCTATCTCCCAACGGCCCAATTTGGTCATATAATTGTAAAAGAAAGGGTAATAAAGGAATGAAAAAGAAAAGGAGAAAAAATCAAGATCGTCATTCAATAAATCCAATGACGAGTCGCTAATCTCTCAAAACGATAAATTTAAAATAGAGAGTTTTCTAATTCTTTTTTCGTAGGATAGGCATTCATAACACAAAAAAAAAAAAAGTAACTATTTTAATGAGCTTAATTTCACCCTCTTCTTATAAAGAAAGGCGCCTACATAATTGAAACAATAGCTATCTCTTTCCTTCAACCCTTGGATGTCGTAGTTCTTTTTCATTATGCAAAGCTTTTCAGAGAGCTCAATGCTACGAAGTCCCTCTTCTTGGTCCTACACTCATCTGCCTTTTCTTTAAGTAACTTCGTGGACCATTGCCACTGGTTATAGTCACGAGCTGTATAGAAAGACATCATGCATTCCCCGTGAAATACTCGAGCCGGACCCCACCAAAATATCTACAGACAACTCTGCTGAATTTATGTCTCGAGTTTGGGTCCGCGTAACAAATTCACTTTCCTATTTGGCTGATTTCGGATGAGGGGCTCACGGCAACACAAATAGAGAAATAAATAAGGCCACTTAAAAGACAAAATTATGGGCACACCTCACTTTACTATATCTATTTCTCTCGTGGCGGTAAAACAGTCATTGTCTGAGCAAGAAAGAAAGCAAGGGAACCGTACATGGACTCCTACCGATAGGGACGTAGAAGAGGAGTACTCTGCCCCACACACACACACACACACACATATATATATATATATATATATATATATGTTGCCGAACAGAATAGGGTCTTCTTGGAGCCGCACAGTAAAACCGAAAGATAGAGCCGCGACGCGTTCTCTAGGTTCGGCCGCACGAAGAGGAACCAGATTTGTGCTGTGAGTTTATTTCGTCCAATTGGGTTGTTTATTCGGTAATACTTTGGATTTGGACTTAAATTTAGGTGTGAGAAATACTCGAGCGTTTAAGCGATTTGTAACTCTGATTCTCCGATTATAGTGAATTATTTGTTGCTGGCTCTCCCCATGGATGTAGGTACCGATATTTAGACCGAACCACGTAAATTTTTAATGTCATTTATCGTTCCTCATTTATTTATCTGGTATTTTCGCATTGACTTAATTTGAAAGATCCTGTCGTTTCCGCGTTATATTCAAACAAACTCATTAGGATTTTTTGTTTTCGATAAGTGATTCATCAAGATTTACAATTCTGATACTGCTCTTGCCTAATCTTGTTTCGGATACTCAAGCTGCTTTAGTGCTTAGGAGATGGATAGCCTAGGGTGCGTTTGGTAACCATTTTATTCCCGGAAACAATTTCTGTTCAGAAATAATTTTTTTCATTCCGTTCCTGGAAACAATTTCTAAGCATTTGAAAGCGTTTGGTAACGATCCAAAATTTCCATTCCTGGAATAGAAAAAGAACATAAATACGTTTGGTAACTGCACAAAATTTCTTTTTATTAATAATATTTTTAAAT